ATAATGTATACTCACACAGGAAAAGCTAATATTAACTGAATGTTGTGGGTAGAAACTGCCATAGAATTGAATGACTCGCTCTCGACAGTGAAGTTGGTCTGGCCATCCTCAGAGGAGATGTGAAGTGAGAAGAAGAGGAGAGAAATAAAGTAATGAAAGAAAGGGAGGGGAGAATCATTTATATTTGTGGGCAAAACAGTGAATCTGCAATAACTATAAACCTGTTTTGTGCATAGTACTCTTGTGACATTTCCAGTGTGAATAAAGTTAGTCTTAACTAAGTATATTTGACTGTACTACTGTCAATTTGAAGAAGTGAAGCACAAATCATGCTTGACTGTATTTGGCTCTATTTGGAAATAGTCATGGCTGACCCAGGTAAAATTACCATATATGCTGTTTGTTCCCCTAGATTAGTTCCCTCCTGTAATTCATCCCAACCAAATCAATGACACATGATCATTGTTGCATAGGGAATGTTACTGATTGTCATAGTTGGACCTGACCCTTCTCAGTTTAACAGATCTAGGAGGCTTATAATTTCTTCCCTTTAGAAAAAATGCATTTTGTAGGAACCAACCTACAAGCTTGTACCTGACTGAGTTTTGATGAAAATAAAAAATAAAAGAGACAAAGAAGTAGGTTTAAATGTGAAGGGTCTGGGGGCTCTTGCCTCACTTCAACAAAGCATCCCCAGTGACTTGTGCACTCTAGCTTTATTCTCTGACATGGATACAAGCAATTAGAGTAAAACAGGATTAATCTGCCTCCCACTATCTATGGTACACGTCCGGGTAAACAGGATCTCAGCTGTATTAACTTTCCCTGCAGCGCATTAGCACACACTCATACCACCTTTCTCCTTGTTGCTCACAGAAGAGGCCAATTAAGCCATAACTTTCCTATTTGGTCTCCCACAGCAGTCAGTTTTTCTGTACCTTAGTTCCAGATAATTAGGTTCATGCAACCCAAGCGGTGTTAGTAAATCATAAATTACATTATCTACAAGAACATATTTTTGTTATTTCTGCTTGGCTGATGTTCTGATTTGTGTTTTTTGGTGTGCCACGCCCAGAACATCTTTGATAATCTAATGAATGTACAGGTACAGGCTGAGTAAGGAAAGTTCATTCAAATGGACTCAGTAAAAAAGTGACTTTCAGAAGGAGACATTTATTGCTTTTGTCTAACCAGCACTTATTCTCTATTGATGATAAAAGATGGCAACCTTGCAATTTATTCGTGCAACTTCCTCTTGCTATTTCTTGAAATCCTGTGGGGTTGCCATTCAAAGTTTTTGGTCCATCTCCCCAAGCTAAACCCCAGGGGGATTTTGAATTTTGATAGGAGGGACAATTGAAAAAAGAGGTTGAAATGTATTCGTACAATGACAGTGACCTGGAAAGACTGCTCATTAGTTCCCATTCCTTAGAGTTCCTAATTGTATCCTGATGAATTTGCCTTTGCAGAGGTGTGAGTAGTGAAACCTCCTTCTGCATTCTGAAGGATTGTTGTTTTGGTTTTTTTAGGCAGCTCAGGATGCCTTCAGGGCAGGTCTGGTTTTGGCTTGAGGATGAGGGGATTGAACCACAGCATCCTGAGCCTGACTGCTTTGTTTCGGCAGGCACTTAAACACCTGAGCTAACGGGCAGGTCCCTTCCTTCAGCATTTTGAGTCCACATGCTTTTTCATTATTCTATGCTGCTGCTTTTTATTTTTAAGTTAAGGTAGAGTTGGGTTTTTTGTTCTGTTTTTTTTGGGGGGAGGTTGGTGTGTGGTTTATAGTAAAATGGGAAGTTAGCCTTTCTGTTTCAACCTCTAACCAGGAATGTATTAGGGACAGAAAGTTTCAAATTAAGCATCATTGGCAGGAAGCAGCGGTGACACCACATCAGTGACTCTCCAAGTGTTGCTTTGGCATAGTTGATTTTAGGGATAGAAGAGGTAAACAGGAACATAAAGGGTGAGAGAACAAAGAAAATGGCAGTCTGTTCACAAAGAAAAAATGCCCTCACACCACTCATAACACTAAAACAGGCATCAATCACTATCAATGCATTCTGGGACATCTATATCTCATGACAAACACCTATTTCTAGTTTCGCATACAATGCAAAAATCATTTGCACTCACAAGTTATGTGTCAGACCACTGAGGTTTAAAAAAAAAAGGGGGAGGGAAGTTGTTGCTACCAGCAAGATAGCTGACTCCTAGATCAGAGTTCCCCGTTCATTTTCTTCTCATCAATCAATCACACATATTGTTCAGTGTCATATTTTGAAGGGTTCTGATGTGTAGACCATGGATTTAGCCCTTGTTATCAGAGGGCCATCAAAGGGCCTGAGATTTTGAAATAAGAAAGTTTGTAATTCAATGTCTTAAAAATGTTGTGTAACGAAATCCCACTCAGCATGTTATTAATGCCCAGTGCAGCACAAAGGACTCATAGGGAAAGTCCACTGGATTCAGTAAAAGAAAAATGCTTTTCTTTTATCCAGAGTACATTTCTACATAGGGCAAAGGGGAACGGGTGGATTAAAAGTACAAGTTTGACTCAGCACATATGAGAACTTGTACTGTAACGTCATGTAACTCGGTAGTGTCCCAAATTTTCTGATCAAGGAGATTATGGGGCCAAAGAGGAAAGTGATCAATGATGTAGAGTGTGCCTAAGAAGAGTCACATGGAGAGAAAACATTCTCTCAGGCTTTCACAGAGAGCACATTGGCCAAGCAATAGCCGTGACTCATTCACATGGCTGACACTGACAAATGTTCTACAATGTGAGGTACAGGATCTCAGGATAAATCCTGAGTGGATTTCACTGACCTTATCAGACCCAAAAGCTACAACTCTTGTTGCATAGGTCCTGCTTTACCTTGATCTTAACCATCCAGCAGAAAAGTATAAAAACGAAGTATATGAAGTAAAGCCATGCTGTTATGTTGAGCTGTAGGGGACTCAGGTCAACAATTTCTGACATTGCCAGTCAAGAGGAAGACCCAATACTATTATGGACTGCTGGACTCTTTTAGAATATTTTGCTGAGTTCCTATAATATTCAAATAACGGAACTTAACAAAAAAAGGGGATACAGATGAATGTCCATTTTGTATCTGCGTATTCAAAGTGGTTAGGATAGATATATAGTTACATTCTCTTAATGAATAGAAGGATTTGTTCTAATGGTGTGTGTAAATAGGATATCATGTCCGCATCTTGTACAGCAATTAACCACTAGGAAGAACGTATGTAATGTGTTAATTATTGAAACTTTCCTACTAATTTGGTTTGAAACTCTCATTGCTATTTGTTTCTCAATAAAATTATGGAAACAATAAAAAATGAAAGTACAAGTTTGGAAAGAAATGAAGAGGTTTCATAGGAACATACCTGGAAGAATCAAGTAACAGTTTTTCTTTATGTTTTTAAGCTTTGAAATATTTAGACCTGTTTGGAGGCAAAAGTGAAAGAGCTGCTGAAGAGTACAGGGATCAGCAGAGCTGGCTCTATGGGCAGATGACCTTTGCATTTACCAGGGCCCTACATTTTGCTGAATGCTCTGCTGTCACTCTTGAATTTTTTTTTTTTCATTATGCTCCACAGATTCTGTAACAGGTAGAAGGACATATATGTGAAAGTGCTTTGAAAGATGTGAAGCGACATTTGGTAGGCTGATTAATTCCCCCCACAAACAAATGTTCATCCCCTAATCTTCTAAAGTTGTGCATATTTTTACCTCATATGGCAAAAAAGATTTTGCCAACGTAAGAATTTTTAGATAGGGACATTATCCTGTCTGGTGAGTTCAAAGTAATCAAAAGTGTCTTTATATGCCGGAAGCCCCAGAGTTAGGGTCAGAAAGAGAAGGCATGTGACAACAAAAGCAGAAGTAAAGGAGATCTGACCTTGTGATGCAAGGTCATGGGTCAGGAAATGCAGGTAATTTCTAAAAGCTGGACACTGGGCAAGAAAAACTATTGTTCCCTGGAATCTACAAAAGGAATATAGCCTTGCAGATCCATTTTGGTCTTTTAGAATATAGTTTGTTTTGTTTTGAGCCATTTTTTTTAGTAATTTGTTATAGTATAGTGAGAAAGTAAACCTAAGATACTATTTTGTAGAAACTGAGAGTACTGGGCTGGGGAGATGGCTCTGTGGAATAAGCCCTTGCCTAGGAAACACAGGGGCGTGAGTTCAATCCCCAGTTCTGCCAAAGGGGGTTAAAAAAAAAAAAGAAAAGAAAGAAACTCAGCGTACTGGTATAGCTCACAGCAATTACCATCTGTTGATACCCGCTCCTATGTACTAGGCATTATTCTAACCCTTTTATGTAGGTAACTTATGAAATCTTAAAACAATATTTGAGGTGAGAAATAAGGCCATACTACTAATTGGACTGTGTTACATTTGAGATTTCAGTCTAGTCTGTCACTCCAAGTTTTTATATACGTTTATCCTCATTCCCATGCTTCCGTATAAACGTTGTTCTCATTCTTTAATGTGCATTTTATTCATATGTATCAATAAATCAACGAGAGGGGAGTTTAGGCTGGGGCAGGAGACGACATCTGGGTCGCATAAAACCAAGGAGGTGAGTTTTCCCCCCACTACAGGACGCAGACGACGGAGACTAGCGCTTAAATTGCAGTACCCACTTAAGTCCCGGTGAGTCCTGGCGGCGGCGATATGACAAGGACCTTCGCGGGACTGCCCCTAAACCTCCTTTACCAACAACTACAGAGGTGCGCTGTTTCAGCTAGTGAACCCCGAAGAGGACAACCCGCCCTCCGCCCCCTCGGTGTTTTGGAGCCCTCGTGGTCGCGCCTCATTGGTCGCCACGGAGCCCGGCCTGGGAGAGGCGGAGCGGCCTCCTTAGGTCTAGGAGCGGTTAGTTGGGCTCCCAGCCCCGTCTTCCGGCCGCGGGGGCCGCCGGGACCACAACTCCCAGAAGGCCGCGCGCCAGGGCGTGGCCTCGCCCGAGGACGCCGGGGGCGGGGCCGCCCGGGCATGAAGCGGGGGCGCGCGGCGCTTCTTCCTCAGTCGCTGCTACCAGGCACCAGGCAGTATCCAGCGCCTGCGGTCGCCGCGCAGACCTCTACCTCTAGAGGTGCTCTGCCGCCAGCTCGGCTTCCTGGCGTCGCCACTCGGCCGCCCTCCGTTCCCAGCCCCGAGGGGCCCAGCCGTCAGTGACGGGGGGAGGCCAACATGAGCTGGGGGGTCCGCCAGGCCGGCGCCGGGCAGGGGGCGGCGGCCGCAGTGCCGCTGCTGGCCACCCTGAGCTTCCTCCTGAGCGTCGTCGAGGCCCAGGTAAGCCCGCAGAGGGGTCCACCCGGCACCCCAGACGACAGTCGGACCGGCCGCGGCGGGGGCGCCCCAGAGGCCGGGCACAGGTGGAACGAGAAGCTGGGGTACTGACCGCTTGGTCAAGTACAGGAAACGTCTGCGAACCCCGGCGTGCGCGTGGATGGCGACACCGGGGTGATGGCAGGCAGGAAAAGAAGATGGTGACGGCCCCCTGAGCCCTTGCGGTTCTTGTTCTTTACTGTTTTCAGCGGCCGGGAGTGTGGCGGGAGACGGGACGGGGTGAGCGTCTTAAGGGAACGCACCCGCAGAGCGTCGCCCTTCGCTCCGGGAGTTCCGGAGGTCGGCAAGGAGTCTGTGGAACTCAGGACCCCCACTCCTGGCCGCCCTAAGAGTAGGTTCGGAGAACAACAAAATTTGAGTTCCTCAAACTTGGGCACTTGACTTTTGGCCCTGTTCAGTATGGCATTGTTTTTATCCGCTTGCCTTTTTGTCTGTTAAGCGGGTCTGACAGTGAGATGCTAGCTGCACAACGTGTGGGAGTTTGGAAGTATCTTCGTGAAGCGATTAAAAGCAGTACTCTGGTTATCCTAGAAACCTGAAGGTTAGCCAGAAGACCAATGTTTACTTTTTTATTCAGTAGGATTTGACTAGATTGCCAGGTGTTGTTGTCTCTTCTGCACCTGCTGCAAAGTGGCAGAACTGCTCAGAGCCAAAAGAGTGCCTCAGGTGGCCTGATGATAAAGGGAGATGCTATTTGAAGCAATTAATGCTCATTGCTAAGAAAAATTGACGTTAACTCTTGAGTGTAACCGTGTAAACATGTTTTTCTGACATTCCACATACTTTCCGGTGGTTTTATAGTGCCCAGTACCAAATCCCAGAATGCCTAAATATTCCATTTGATTTGACAAACTCGTACTGAGCTAGACAAGGTACTATCTCCAGCCCTCCTTCCAGCTGCACTGATTGAGTGGCTTTAGATTGAGACTCAGGAGTCAGCATTTTAAAGAGGCCTTGCAAGTAATTGTAATGCAGTTGTTTTTAAATCCCACTTGAAAAACACTAGATTGTGGGGATTATCCACAAAGAACAAATATTCCAAATTGTTGTTTGGTGAAATTATTTTCTAATTACTAGTTGAATGTTTGTTTGAAATTTACATTTAGATATTTTTAAAATGAAACTTCTCACTTTTTAAACATGACAATTATATACTTTATCAGCAGTCTGGAAGCTTCATTAAGGTTTTTTCATCTACCACTAATTATATGTAATTAATGTTTTATAACTGTAGCTATATTTCTAATTTCCTTATAACTAATATAGGTAATTCAACACTTAAAGATTTATGCATATTCAAGGTAGCATTTGCCGGACAGTCATCCAAAATAGTTACTTGTTTTTGTTTCCAGTGGTACTTTCTGATGTAGTATGGGATCATATTTTAGGAACCTGTTACATGCTTAAATATACATGAACTCCTTTTCTTTGAACATCTCATAGAAGCGGGGCTATTGTGGTGACTGAAGTCCAGAGGGCTTAAAAGGCTTGTTAAGTGAGTGACATTAAATTGGCAGGCTTCTTTCCACTCTGTACAGTATATCATATTCACTTGTCTGGAGAAGAGAGAAATAGAAGACCAGGAAAATCAAACAGTGGAACTAAGTCAGCTTTCATTTCTTGCATGTACTAGATTGGTAGAAAAGATAAAGGGAAAAATTACAATTTTTAAAAATCTATTGGAATTGAAACTGTCCTACCAATTTGGTTTAAAACTGTCTCATTGCTATTTGTTTCTCAGTAAAATTATGAAAGAAAAAGATTTCGTACTATGAAAAAAAATCTATTGAAAATGAGTCATTTAAGGAGATAGGTAATTGTAATAGATTTTCTTGCATTTAATAAAAATATTTTTGAGACCATGAAGAAGGCGGGTGCAGAAGACGTCAGTGTCACTTTTGAAGATCAACAAAAAAATAAACAAATTTGCACAGAACACAAACAAGTAGAATCACAGAGCTGAAGGAAGAAACAGAGCTAAAAAGAAGCAGCTCCAGAATTTAGAAGATGTGACAACATCATACTCGCAGACAACGACTGCTTAATGATACCGTATCAGATCGGCGACATTTTTGTTAGCTGTTCTCAAGAAGAAACACAGGAAATGCTAGGAGAAGCAAAGAAAAATTTGCAAGAAGAAATTGACACCTTAGAATCCAGAGTAGGATCAATTCAGCAGGTGTTAGCAGATTTGAAAGTTCAATTATATGTGAAATTTGGCAACAACATAAACCTTGAAGCTGATGAAAGTTAAACATTTTATCTCATTTTTAATTTGTTTAATAAACTTGAATATTGTTTAAAATGATAATTTCCCTTCAAATGACATGGAAAAGAAAAGTTTCCTTTTTAAAAATTTTCATTTATTTAATGGAAGCTTGTCTATTTTCACGTCTTTGCTTATTGTATATTTTTAAAAGAAGTCAGAATTTAGCTGTATTTTGCATGATTATGTCAGTTTTAGGAGCTTGATGTCATGTTATTAAAATCAGTTAAGCAATAAAAAATATTTTTAGCACATATAATAATACATATCTCATGCCCCATCATAAATGAAATGGAAATATGCTTTATAGTATGGTGAGACACTGGGAACTGAAGGGATAGAACTGCAAGTGATAATCTCCTGAAAAAGCATATATAGTAATTGTAGTCGGATATGTTTGAAGTCCTTCTAAATGACTTTCTGAAGTGGCATGAGATCAAGGCATACACAGAACCCCCTACCAAATAGCCAGAAACTTGGGACTCAGTGGTACACAGTGTAGTACTAGTCGGTGGCTCTTAAGAGTTTTCCCCAAACCCTGAAGACTTCAGTTCCTGCTGTATCACCTACATAGGTGTGGAGTGGGCCAGGAATAATGTTTATGTTTGCCCGGAGAGGAACTGAGAAGAGACCCCATAATAGGATTTCAGAGCGCTTCATCTTCAGTTTAAAGGTAAATGAGAAATAATCCCACTGCAAGTAAGGGGAGAGTACTGAAACTTTCTGGAGAAATGGGAAAATAATCCCCTGAAAATGTGTGACCATGAACCAACCCTTACGTAAGTCAACAGTTGTGCTAGAAATGATTCAGGTAGAAATGTTAATTTATAGAAGTCTTACGTTTGTATGCCCCAGGATACAAGTAAAAGCAAGTATCACTATCCTGGAGAAATGTATTTTCAACTCAAGCCCTAAAGAATTCCCAAAGATAAAATGCCAAGAAGAAAAAACAAGTAGTAAAAAACCAAAATGAAACATAAGAAAACAAGACTACATGAATTAGGTCTAATCCCTGACCTACAGTAGGTCATTTACAATTTTGCAATTTTTAAAAATTTTACAATAGTGCAAAATCAATATATTCAGGTGAAACTGTACTTCACATTTGCAATTGTTACCTTTTCTTGGATAAGATCAGATATTCTGTCTGTGCTGGGCAGTCACAGTGAGCTTGACATCCCTGTTGTGTGAGCTGCCTACTGGCAGCCATGTGAGGCAGACAGTAAACAGCTGGTGCTCTGCCATGTACTGTGCATCTCCACTATGACATATAGTAGGTAGGTGTCTCAAATGCATTTCCACGTGATACCTTCAGTTTACAGTGGGTTTCTTATAACTTGAGCAATTATATTAAAAATAAACAAATTAAGGTAATATTACTAACTTAAAAGAAAATAGGTAAAGAGAAACCTGAAAATATGAAAAACAGGCAGTGGGAGATATAGCTTAGTGACTGCCTGATAAGCGCAAGGTCTCAAGTTCAATCCCTGTTACCAAAAAAGAAAAAGAAAAAAAACAAGATTTTGAAGACTTGACAAAAAAAGATGTAAAGATAGAACTGTTTGAAACAAAATGAAGCTCAGTGGTGGGCTGAATAGCTGATTATACCCAGATGAAGAAATAAATATGCAGTTAAACAGCCGCTTTGTATCTTTTCTTTCTTCTTGAGCCCCTTTTCTTTGATCTGCACCCTCACTAACAGAATTGGAGTAATCAGAAGAGAATTTACCCACAGCAACCCACATCATCTGCACTTACTAGACTCTTCCCACATATTTTGAGTTCCTGTTAGTAACCATGATGAACTGTTCTTGTCAAAGGCCAGTCCCTCCATATAAATTAGTTTCCAGCTATTCTTTCCTATTCAAGGACTTAGTTCCAGCAATCTTCTCTTTCCCTCCTGGATGAACTTTTCCTTCTCTGAATTGTAGTTTGGTAATAGTAGAACACGTGCCACATAAGTGCGAGACTCTGGGTAAGAACCCAAGCACATCAAAGTAACAAAAAAATTCTACTGTTTTCAAGTTATCTTTTGACTCACCCATTCTTTCTCTTTCTGCATCATTTTTTTTTCTCTAGAAAAGCTCAAGTTATCTTTATTTCTTTTGTTTTGTTCTCCTGTTCTCCCTTTAACTCATTCCAATCAGACTTTTGTCCCTCCACTCTAAAAATGATCTAAGTAAGGTCGCCAATGTCCTCCCTGGTAAGTTCTTAAACCTCAGCTTTACCTATTGGTAGCATTTTTCAAAGCTGAACACTCACTTTCTGTGAAATACTAATTTTGGCATCCAGGATACAACAGTTCAGTAGTTTCTTTCCTTTCAGATGGCTCGGTCTTTTTTAGTATACTTCGCTTGTTGTTCTGTCCTTCCCTGCCAATCATTTGAACTTCAGGGTTCAAATCTTATACCATTTCTTCTGTCTTGACTGTATTGTTCACTCTCCAGTTTAACTCTCCAGAGTAGGAGTCTCAGCTATAGATTTTGTGTTTAAATTTTTTCAACCTCTCAATTAGCTAAAAGTATCTCAGTCTTGAGTATCAGAACTGAGCTCCTGATCTTTTCCCTAAAATTGCTCTTCCTAAGATCTTTTCTCCCTATCACATATGCTCTAGCTGGACTAGCATCCATGTTCTTCAACATAGCAACTATGTCAAGACCTTTGCATGAGGTATAATAAAAAATGTTTAACTTCTAAAAATTTATTAAGCAAAAGATGTTGTTATTAATACCTTTCATAGTATCCCCTTGCTTTAAACACACTTATTCCTATTGGTTTTGGCAATGTACCTTTTACTGTACTTTTTAAAAATGTAGGGGCCGGGGAGATGGCTCAATGGAATAAAGCGCTTCCCTGGCAAGTGCAAGGGCCTGAGTTCAATCCCCGGTTCCACAAAAAAAAAAAAAAAAGTAAACATTTATTTTTTGATCTCTTTTTAATTCTTGTTTTTTTCTACAAAGAACACTCACATATTCATAAGGTTTACTATACTTGTTTCTTAGTTTCTACTAAAATGTCATTTTGTACAAGAGAAATATTCATTCCCTACCTGGTACTCCCTCTTCCTTTCATCATTTGCTTAAAACTCTCCACTCTTTTACCCTCTCAGTGTGGTACAATATAAAAAATTATTTGGTCTTTGTTTCTGATTCCTGGCACAGATGTCCAAAAATGCTTTCATGCTTACTAGATTGGCAAAATTAAAACATATATTAATATCAAATATTGAGAAAGATATGACTCAATGTTAACTTCCCCTCATTTTTTGGTGAGATAGTAAATTGATAACAACTGTTTCAGAAATCAACCTGTCATTTCCTAATAAAGCTGAACATGTACTTACAACAATTCCATTTCTAAGCACATAACCTGGAGAAACACTCACATGTATATACCAAGTTGTATATCATTGTTCTTTACACAAACCCCAAAACGGACCTCAGTGTGACTGTGTTAGTTTCCTGTTGCTGTTATAACAAATTGTCTTAGTGATCAAAAGGAATATACGTGTATTATCTTGTAGTTCTGGTACAAGAGCTTGAAAATGGATTTTATAACATTAAAATCAAGAGGACAGCAAGGTTACTTTCCTCTTGGACACTCTAGAATAAAGAGCTGTTCTTTGCCTTTTCCAAGCTTTTAGAGGCTTCTGTTTGGCTTGTGGCTTCCCTCTTCATCTTCAAAGCCAGCTGTGTAGCATCTTACAAATTTTTTTTTTTTTTCTGACCCCAATACTTCTGTCTGTATAAAGAATTTTGTGACCATATGGTTTGGCATGAATAATCTAGTAACTCTTACTATTTCAAGGTACTTAATTACAATTTTAAAGCCCCTTTTGCCATGTAAAATAACAGTGGAATGTTTCAGAAATGAGGGCATGGACATTTGGAGGAGGCCATTATTCCTGTTATGTAGATCAACAAATAGAGTAAATATATTGCGATATTTTTATATGATATAACACTTTTAGCAGGGAAAATGATATACTACATTAAAATTAATCATGTATATATGCCAATATAAAGTGTTAATAAGAGAGGCACATTACAGCAGAATTCACATATTAGATTTCATTAGTATTAAAGTTCAAAACTGTAGAAAACTTCTAAATACATTGCTTAGGGACACATTACAAAGAAAAGTAAAATTAAGTATGTGTCTTCTCTTTCTTTTTTTTCTTCAATACCAGGGATTGAATTTAGGGCCCTTGTACTGAACTACATCCTTAGTCTTACTTGTTAAATTTTGAAACATGGTCTCATGAAGTTACTGAGTTGCACAGACTGGGTTCAGACTTTCAGTCCTCTTGTCTCAGCCTCCTAGAGTGCTGGAATTATAGCTGTGTGCCATCATACTCGGCCTAAGAGATAATGTTGCTGTGTTGCTCAGACGGGCCCTGAACTCCTGGGCTCAGCCTTTTAAATTAGACATAGCAGGTCAAGAAATAGCAATTACTAGGAACAATATTTTAAAACCAAATATTTTGGTTTTGCTTTTCTGTTGTTATTTGAGAGGTTAGGATTTAAGGTCCTGTATAAGTAATGAGAGTAATGGAATCAAATTTGTAAGTTAGTGATGGGATCCTAGGAAATGGGATAGGAAAACATAGAATCCCAAAAGCTAAAATTCTTGATAACGATCCCTTGTTCTTTAATCTCAAGATGATGTAGCTCAAACTGTGTGTAGGTTGGACTTTTGGGAGAAAAGAAAGAAAGAGATGGCAAGGACTGGTTTCTACTTCTTGATAAACACTTGCATGTATTCTTTCTTTGGACCACATGAGTAACCTGCAACAGACTGAGACCCTTTCTTATTTTTAATTGAAAAATTGAATTGAGATAATTGTGAGTCTGTGCAGTTATAAGTAATAATACAGATGAATACGGGGGCCTGCCCATTAGCTCAGTTGCTTAAGTGACTACTTAAAGCAATCAGGATGCTGTAGTTCGATTTCCAGATCCTCAAGCCTTACCATACCTGCCCTGAAGTCATCCTGAGCAAGCCAAAAAACAAAAAACAAAAACAAAACAGAAAAGACCTCTTATGAATTCTGTGTTCCCTTTATTCCGTTATCCTAATAGCAACATCTTATAAACATACATAACAGTGATGCAACTAGGACATTGCCATTGATTATGGACCTCAGTTAGATCCCCCCAGTTATTCTTGGATTGTTCATGTGCATGTATGTATTAGTTCTATACAGCTTTATCATGAGTGACTGTGTGTATCCACCATATCAGTAAAGATATGGTTGGTCAACAGAGCATCTATCTAGTTGCTTCTTTATAACCATACCACATTATTCTCACTCTGCTCTACCCCCTACCTCTAAGCCCTGGCAGCAATCTGTTCTCCATTTCTAAAATTTTTCATTGAAAAAATTATTTGGTAAGTGGAGCCATACAATTTGTAACCTTTTAGGGTTGGCTTTTTTTACTCAGGATAATTCCTAGAAGATTCATCTAAATTGCTGCATATCACTGAATCCAATTTTTGGTTCAGTTGACTGTTTTATGGAATTTTGGGACTCTAAAGTCACTTTGTAAATAACAATTTCTCTTGCATTAATGGATACTTTAGTGGGTGGGAACATAAATTTTAATGTTGGATGGGTTTGGGAAAAATTCCATTTCTACTTTAGAAAATTAAGCCCTCTAAACTTTAATTTCTTTACATGTAAAATTAGGATATTATTTGTAGGATACTTCTAAAGAAATAGGATGATTTATTAAGGTCTTACCCCTGTGCCTATCATATAGGTTCCATCCAGTCTAAAAGAAAGATAGGGGTTGATACAGCAAAATTAACTGCTAGGTCAGTCTAGGAAGAAATTGTTTTAGCGTTCTATTGGCTACTTGAATTTTATATATGTTTGGGAAGGAGAAGGAGAGTTCCGTCTTTAATTTTGAGCACTAACCAAGAATTTTTTAGTTTTTCAGAATGAGCATTATCTAATCTTCATACTGTTTTTAATGTCAGTGACCATAATAAAGCATAAGTAGCTGCTTTAATGTTATGAATCTTAATCAGCAAAAACTGGCTATCTTGAATGAACAACTGATTCTTTTTTATAATAGTACAGATTTATTAAGGTTAAAACATCAATAATTTATATATTTAAATTTGTTATATATGTAAATTCTAGGTGGCTGGAGTTCTGGATGATTGCTTGTGTGATGTTGACAGCATTGATAACTTCAACAACTACAAGATCTTCCCAAAAATAAAAAAATTGCAAGAGCGAGACTATTTCCGTTATTACAAGGTAAGGTTATAATTTTGATTCTGTTGATGCCAAAGATTTCTCTATAGCAGCCTGTGGATGTGACTTTATGACCCTTTTGAAAATCCATTTTAACTCCCTTGAACAGCCTATGCATGTCTTTTGTTATTTGAATGTATTAACCACAGTGATTCTTAATTAGTTTTATTAATCACTAAGAATCTCAGCCCTCTTCCTGTGTTTGGGTATTTCCCCATCTGTCAGTTTTGGTTTCAAGGCAGACTCCTCCCTTTACAGAAACTGAAAATGGCAGGGGCTGAATTTGTTAACCTCCCATTAATCTAGGTTCTGTCGTGTAAACCCACCTGGGTAGGTTTCAAGTTGGGCTGTACACTAGCACTATTAGCAGTGCAAAGTGACATAGCAGCAGATGTGCCCTGCTAGCTCCCGGGGAAGGCTAGCAAACCAGGCTGAGGTTACAGGCACACTATATGCAGTATCCATGGTAATACTGCAGGATTGGGTCTTAAATCTAGTAACAATCCTAAACCTACACAAAATACCAGTAATACTTCAGAGGCAGCAGCAATCTTCAAATATGGCAATTAGCAATATTCAAAAGGACAGTTATTGTAAATTTTTGAAAAAATACATATATATTTTTTTAAATTTTATTTATTTATGTGTGTGTGTGTGGCCAGCTCAGCCCGCCAGGGGACGGGGCTGGCTGGCATGTGGTGCTGGGGGATTGAACTGCAGTCCCTATGCTTTGCTAAGCTTGTTCTAATTAGGTGCTTTAGACCACTGAGCCATCTCCCTGACCCCTGAAAAATATTTTTAAGAGTACTGTCGGGCCTTGCCTTCAATTTTACTCTCAGGATCCATTTGGTTTATACTTTCTTTGATTTTATTATTTAATTTATTCAAAAAACTGACAACTTTCTTTTTATCTTGATTCTAGATAGACTATATTAATTGACCACTAAGGTGGCCAATTACTCAAATTTTTTTTGAGGGTAAAAGTTCCAGTCTAGGCAGGAATATAGCTCAGTGGCACAAGTGCCTGCCTGGCAAGCACAAGGCAAGAAAGAAAGCAATCAATCCAGTTTTTAGCAATTTTAAGTTGTATAGGAGAATAAATTAGAAAATTAAAAACTCATTCAATACCAACAATATTTAAAAGTACGGTAACTATATCTATAAAATAATGATAATTGGGCATTGTGGGACATGTGTAATCTCAGTGTTCGAGAAGCTGAGGCAGGATGATCACTGTGCATTTGAGGCCAGCCTAAACTGTGTTAGACTTATCTCAAAAACCAAACTAAAACAATACAAAAAAATTGGTTGTGAGTGCAGATTCAAGAATTTATTTCAAAGAGAAATCTGTACCTGTTGTCTTTTGGCCTTGCATTATAGTTCAGGCTGGGTTTGAGTTCACTATGTAGCTCAGGCTGGCCCTGAACTCATGATGATGCTCTATCTTAGCCTCCCAAATGCTGAGGTTACAGGCATGTACCACCAAGCTTGGCTTAGTGAGTGTGTGTGTTGTCTTTGTGAGTGTGTGTGGGTAGGGTGCTGGGGATTGAACCCAGGGGCTTATGCATGCAAAGCAAGAGCTCTTCTCCAACTCACATCCCCAGCCTACGGCCTGTTGTCTTAATCTAGGTGTATTGTATGTAAATTACTACCACCACTAAATCCAAATCTATCTGTATTTATAGTTGCTGTCTTATACTTCCCTCGTATTATTAGATTGAATCGTATGAAATTGTTACTTTTGTGTTTCAAAACTGATTGAATAGGCAGTGTTACTTTTATATGGTTTAATCTAGTACAGTGGAGGAAGCATTCATTTAATTAAAAATCACACCTTCGCAGGTGTCCAGACCACATTTCCACCGACTCTCTCATGACCCTGTCTTTCTTTCATTTTGGGATTGCATCTTCTATTTCTGTATCCCTACAAGTCCTGGTCAGAAGAAGCACTCAAATATTTCAAGAAATAAATACCTTGTTAACTTTCACACCAAAAGTTTTTAGTATTACCCACATTTTTCAAATGAAAAAATAATGATTTAGATATCATAGAACATTTTTATTGGCCTGGAAAACAGAAGTTTGATTAAGAAAAGATAGTGAGTAGTTTACAAAATTGAAAGACAAGCTGAGAAAGCATAGTACAGAACATAGCAGTACTTTGGTGTACTGGTTATTAATTGGTTTCAGCAGGTATGACAAGTACCAGAAATGACAAGTATCAAACAGATTGTTTTGCTGGAACGGGTAGTGAGTCATGAGGCAATCAACAGCTATAAATTCTAGCTTGTGTTTGGAGTACAAAACAAGTGATAAGTACCGGGACACAGTTTTTGAGTTAAAATACGTCAAGGGTCAATTTAAATTTCAAAGCAGCTGAGAACCAAGGTACAAATGACTGTAGATAAAATTAAATAAGTGAGCACTAATGGATAATTAAAGGCAAATTTTTGGATCAAATTAATCATATTCTCATATTTTGTAGCACTTTCTATAAGATGTAAGGTCCTTGATTGTTCTAGGTAGGGTCATTGACCTTTCACCAAAAGAGGGAAGGACAACTTTGTCAATAGTCTCATTCACATGAATATAAGAGGAGTCATTATTTCTCAAAGGTGAATTAAGGGACTGTTACATAAGGAAACATGGATGTTGGGTAGGCAAAAATAATATGCTTTTGGCTACCAAACATATAATTTCTTCTTTTTTCTCATGTATGTAGTTTAAAAATGTTCCAACTGACACAGTGAAATTGTTCTACATGTAACCAAAACATACTCCTGTTTTCTCTCAAAGAAGGGGAATATCCTGATTTAGTTTCTGCGCTCAGCTGTGAGTCTAAGATATTTGAGTGAGAGCTACTCTTCTAGTTCTGTCAACCTAATTTAACCAATCAATGCATGAAATTGAACCACTTCATATAATAGTGGCAAACAAAGCTAAGAGAAGAGATTCATTTTGGGCATACACATGTATACTTACCATTCAGCAAGCAAGGAAATATAGGAAAAAACAGTCATCTACTTTTATGCATTTGGCTTGTTTCTTTTACATTGACCCTTCCATTTCTTTTTCTCACTAGTTATTTATTTTGGGGCTGAGATGTTGCTGTGGAGCCTGCGATGGCCTGGAATTTGGTTTGTATACCAAGCTGTGTTCAAACTCAGTTTTTCTGCCTCAGCCTCCCAAGTGCTGGTATTATAGGCATGTACTACTGTGCTTGGCTCCTGTGAAATATGGAAAGAGCAATTTGTTTTAGCCTAGAGAGTACAGTGGATACAGAATGAATACAACAAAGCTTTTGTTCTGATTAAGGAAACAATAAGTAAACAACAAATATACTTTCAGATGTCTGTAAAGTAAATGTTATAGAGAAAAATAAAGCAAAATAAAAAATAGTGATGATGGAAGGAGAAAGGAAACAGGTGACCCTATTTTAATGAAGGTGATCAGGAGAGGAAGGCATGTTAATCACCTTCCTATTGCTGGGACAAAATACGTGACACATATAACTTAAAAGAGAAAGGTTTAACTCATGGTTTCAAGAGTCTTAGGCCATGATCAGGTAGCTCCAAGGCAGCAACATCATAGTGGAAGGGTATGACAGAGGAAAGTTGTGCACTTAATGACAGCCAGGAGGCAGAGAGAGCAGGAAAAGCACAAGAAAGAAAGGGACTAGAAACGACATATACCCTTCAGAGTCGTACCTCCAGTGACCTACTTCCAACTGGCCCGTACCTCCAGTAGCCAGGAGTTGTGGGCTCATCGGTGAATTAAGATGAGCATCCTTGTTATTGTCAGGGTTTGCAAGGGAATAGATTTAATACAGGACACATAATTTATAGGATTATTTTGTAATAAGTCAAATGCAAAAGGGTGTAAGAAGGGGCTGGGGAGATAGCTTAGTGGCATGAGCACCTGCCTCACAAACACAAAGTCCCAAGTTCAATCCCAAGTCTGAAAAAAAAAAAAAAGGAAAATGACAGGTACAAGAGATCTGTTGTGCACTAGTGTTTATAAGTTAACCATCAATTAACCCACCACAGCCCTCATGGTCTAAGTAGTTTTGTAGCCCTACCTTTGAACATTGCTGCGTTGAGGTTCAAGTTCTTAGTATGTGACTCTTTTGAGAGACACTTGTAATTTAAACCATAACAAAAGATATTTATACTAATTTGACATTTGAGCAAAGACATACTTAATGTGAAAGAGTAAACTGTTGACAACATCTGGGGAAAGAAGTTTCAAGATCTTGACAAAGGGATAAGAAGAAAGGTTGATGTGATGGTGGAAAGTAAGTGAAGGGGAGAGTTGGAGAAGTGGGTAGGAACCAGATTTTTTAAATTTTTTTTTTTTTGTGGAACTGGGGATTTGAACTCAGGCCCTTGCGCTTGCCAGGAAAGCACTTATTCCACTGAGCTATCTCCCCGGCCCCCAAAAGGCAGAAGGAAGGAACCAGATTTTTTAAAATTAGGGTTTATTGACCAGAGGAAAATTTTGAATTTCATTCTATGTATAAGAAACTGTTGAGACAGGGGCTTAGTGGTATGCGCCTGTAATCCCAGCATTTGGTTGTGGTGGTGCGCCCCTGTAATCCCGCCGTAAACAGGTGGATCACTACGAGTCCAGTCTAGTAGTGAGACCCTGAACACCCTGTAGACCCTTCCCCAAAATACAAAAAAAAAAAAAGAAAAAAAAGAAAGAAAGAAAGAAACTTTTGAAAAGATTTTTGTACAAATAGACTATAAAAGAATGAGGCATGTGGGCCAGGGAGATGGCTCAGTGGAGTAAGCGCTTCCCAGGCAAGTAAGGGCCTGAGTTCAATCCCCGGTTCCGCCAAAAAAAAAAAAAAATGAATGAGGCAGGAGTAGAGAAATCATTGAGAAAGCTGTTGCTATAGTCAAGGTAAGTTGATACAGATTTAGAAAAAGGTTCTAGAGTTGGAAAAATGTGGAAAATGATCAAATACTTATTTTTTTATAGTTAAAAAAAATCTTTATTGA